GGTTGTGACAGCTGAACTAATGATGTCACCGATGCTGATACAAGTGGGCTGCTTCTCATTATGATTTCTCTGCCAGACATAGTGACATTCACCAGCCAATGCGTGTCTCGAGTAGACGATATATAGAAAAAATCATAGGAAATGTGGTGCAGGAGGAATACGATAGAACGTTTGCCCGTTTTTTTGTTTTGTTTTCTTTTACAAGAGGACAATACTTCTGTAGATGATAAAGGTGTATAGATCAAGCTTAGCCTTGCTCGACCACTTTATCAAACCAGGGTCATAGGGCTCATGTTGTGACATTTGGAGATAAGCATTTTGGAGGTAAATGAGACAGAGCAGTCTGCGAGGAGATCAGAAGGTGCTGTGTAGCTTCAGACCTCAAGTAAATTACAAATACAGTGTTGGTAGCCTGACCATTCATATGTCCTTTGTACTGTACACAGTGTATTAAGATAGTGATAGATAAATAATGTAGTTTAGTTGTCAGAAAGATGCATTTGTTGCCCAGGTTTTTACTATAGATTTATTCTCGGTTTATTTTCCATAGAGTTGTTTTTAATGAGAATGGAAAGGGAGTTAAAAATTATTTGGATTCAGATTTCATTGTGTAGCTACTTGATCAAAATATAAACTTGTTGTTTATGCTCTTGTAAAGGGAAAATGCTATATTAGCTTTCAGCTATCAGATTTGATTCAGATAATGATACAGCATCCTAATTCATAGTCTCTACTTCAGATACTGAGTTTGTCTGTGATAGAGCCTTTTTCAGAAAAATGCTCTACCCTGATAAATCATCCAGAGAGAGAGAGAGAACGTGCACATTTAGATGGCATGGAAAAATAGGCTAATAATGTGATTGTATAGGAGTACTCGAATATTTCAATGCATTTGTGTTGATAAATTATCATTTGTTTTAATGTTCAATTGCATGTACCCTTTTTCGCTGTTCTGCTTGATCGCAATGATTTGCTAGCTGTATGCGAGTGCTGGAGTTGGTTGCTTTTCCTGTTTTGATCACAGCCCAGGCAGTAAAGGCCACTACACTTTAAACAGATAATAAATCATATGGTGTCCTTGCTAACCAACATTACAGATTCCCCCGGGTCTGAACTGAACGTCCTTCTTTCTGTTCAGTTTAGTGCAAAGAAGGTAAAATTCTATTTGATGTTAGTGTAATATTTTGAGACAAAGTCTGATGAGGGATTTTTCCAAACAGCCAAAAATAAATCTCACCAGCAGAGTTTTAGCTGGTGGCTCAAGGCATATGTATTCTTGACTTGTGTCTGTTTATTTTTACTTCCCTTTTGTTGGGAGCTGTCTAAAGTTTTGATGCTGTTTAGCCAAGGAAGGAATTATAAAAGTAGCCTACAAACTCGTTCCAAGGCGGGCAGGAAGAGAGGGGAGAAAACAAAAAATGATGTGAAGAAGGTGTTTATGCCTTTTGTTATGTTGTGTGCCACTTATCCACTGACCTGCATGGCATATTTGGTTGCATTTAAAATACGGGAGCAAATTCCTTGCAGTTACTTTTCTTAGACTGTTTGCTCTGTGAAGATAATGGAAGTGGGATGCTCTGTCCCTATTGTTCAGCTGCAACAGATTTCAAGTTATTGCTAAGATTTCAAGTTGTCAAAGCATTTTATCCTGTTAAACTGTGTGCTCTAATGATCAGCGTGTCCCAGGATTGCCCCGGATTGATTACTGTGGTATAACCGATTGCTTGCCAGTGGGACTGAATCACTTTGAGCTGCATTCTCCTCTATCATGAAATGTTTTAAAAACAGTTTTACCAACAACAAAAGCTGCTGTCTAAATCAAGCACAACACGTTTTCCCATTATGGCACGAATTGTGCTTGGTAAGGTTTTGATTGCTGGGATGAGTGTTCAGCATCCTGAATTTGCTAAATGAAGGATGTGTAGGAATCAGATGTTATACTTGAAAGCTTTTCTCCCTTTTTGACAGCTTGACCAACTGTTTTCTTGGCTTTGGGATGCCCATTCTATTCCTGCCCCCCCC